AGCACGGTGCTTCCTGTTTCTGGAACTCACTATTAGTCAGCAGTCCAGCAAACTGATGAGAGACAAGGTTGGAAACTACTGAGAAGATGGGGATAGGAGCCAGAGACATTTAGGTTTCTTTTTTTTTTTTTTGGGTCCGATCGTGGGGCCTGAACTCTGGGCCTGGGCGCTGTCCCTCAGCTCTTCAGCTCAAGGCTAGCACTCTACCACTTGAGCCACAGCGCCACTTCCGGCTTTTTTCTTTTTGCTTATGTGGTGCTGAGGAATCGAACCCAGGGCCTCAGGCATGCAAGCTCTTTTTTCTTTTTGCTTATGTGGTGCTGAGGAATCGAACCCAGGGCCTCAAGCATGCAAGGCAAGCGCTCTACCACTGAGCCGCCTTCCCAGCCCCGACATGTAGGGTTTCTGATACCCACAGGAATCCAGTCCCTTATCTGGCCCCAAACCTCCCAGGCCTGGCTTAAGTCCATCACTTAGTCATTTGCTGTCCCATGGGGCACTTGCCACTTGCTGTCTCTTTCCCACCACTATACCTTAACTCACACAGTGCCCCTGCTTCAAATCATTTCTCCCTGCTTTCCATCTACCCAATTCCAGCCTCTTCTCTCTACAGGCCTTCCCTGACCCCTCCAGCCTCCTACAGATCAGTCCATCTTACCTTTTCGCCCAACCCCATGCCATTTCTCTCAGTATAGGACAGGGTAGCAGAGAAGCTGGGTTTGATCACATGCTTTCCTATTCCCTCCTTCCCGGCATTTCCCCTTTGGGCCTTAGTGTTCACTCCTATAAGATAGGCACAGTAACAATGTCACACCAGGCAAACTCCTTAGAATGAAAGGACACGTGGGGATGAAAGAAATGTAGACCTGAGAGGGATGTACATGGTGGCAAGTGGCACGGAGGTTGTTTCTACTTTGTTGTTGTTGTTCTAGTACTGGGGCTTAAACTCAGGGTCTGGGTACTTCACCTGAGCTTTTTTTTGCTCAAAGATGGGCACTCCACCATTTGAGCCACAGTTCCATTTCTGGCTTTTTGGTGGTCAATTGGAAATAAGACTCTTGTGGACTTTCTTGCCCAGGCTAGCTCTGAACTTAGATTTCAGATCTAAGCTTCCTGAGTAGCTAGGATTACAAGAATGAGCTACCGGTGCCTCTGGCTGCTTTTTCTATTTACATGGGAACCCGGAGCCCACAGGATTCTGTGGTGCATTGCCCTGCTCCTGCCACCTCTCCCTCAGCTGTCTAGACTCCACTATGCTGTCCCTCCCGCCCCAACCCTTCCATAATGTGGCCATGACTGAGAGCAAGAAGGTTCATTAACTCCCTGGCAGAATGGCCAAAAGAAATATAAGTTGTATATGCAATTCTAAGTCCTCTAGTACCATGTTCAAAAGTGAAATAAATTGCTGTGTGTGGTGGGGCATGCTTATAATCAGTTACTTGGGGGCTAGTGGCTCAGACTCAAGCATGCACAGTTGGAAGCCCATACTCCCTGCAGTCTCCTTTCTGCTAGCTCCCTGAGCACTCTGTTCGAACTCATGGCCTCTGTCTGTACCTCGCAGCATGCTAGTGTCTCCTCTCAATGGTCTCATTTTTCTTCCCAGAGCTTAGCACTGGCCGCAGCTGCTGCAAGCTGAAGCCATCCCTTACTCTCCTTTGACTGGAGAAGGATTGGACACTATTTTGCTTCACCCTGTGCTGAGCACCAGGGTTTCAACAGACAATATAAACTTGTTCCTGCTCTTTCAGAGCTCAGGATCAGTAAGGAAGATGGTCACACAGAGAACAAATGTTGGCATCTAAGTGTGTATAAAATATTTCTTTTGTAAACAATTAATTTCTACTCTGAATGCCCATCCTGCCACATCACCTGGAAACTCAACCTCAGCCTTGCTCAGGGATCTCCAACCAAGAAGCAAAGGTCCTGAGGTTTTACACAGGCCCCATCTACATTTGGAAAGCATTGGCATCAGTGCACCCTGGTCACACTCTACGGAGGAGTCTTGGTGAGGCTGGGAACCTGGAAAACTCAGCTCTCTATGTAGACCATTGGCCCACCTCTCAGGGTCTACTTCCTTGGGCCCTGTCTTACAGGATATGTGTGTGCCTGCTGATTGCAGAACACACAGGATGCTCCATTGTAGCTTTAACAGTGTGTGTGTGTGTGTGTGTGTGTGTGTGTGTGTGTGTGTGTGCGTGTGCGTGCGTGTGTGTATATACTGGGGCATGAACTAAGACCTCTGCACTGTCCCCTACCTTTTTTGCTTAAGGCTAATACTCTACCACTTGAGCCACAGCTCTACTTCTGGATTTTGGGTGGTAATTGGAGATAAGACTCATAGACTTTTCTGCTGGCTTCAAACCTTGGTCCTCAGATCTCAGCCTCCTGAGTAGCTAGGATTACAGGCATGAGCCTCCTATGCCAGCTGCCCTTAGTTGTTGGTTTTTTTTTTTTCTGATGACATCCTCTTACTCCAATCCTCAAGGCCTCCATAGTCCTCACACTCAGAATCCTCTCAGCAGACTATGGAAACAAAGCTAGGGAAGAAACCCGATGAGCCCTTTACACCTCCTGCTACAAACTCTCCCCCTGCTGAGATGAACAAAGAGAGGAGGAGGGAAAGCCCAGGGGAGACAACACACATGAATTAATATTCATCCAAACGAATTCTCCTGCTGGGACAGGACAAGACAGCCTGTTAGCAGCCAGCACAAGGAGGACGCTGGACAGTAACTGTGCCTCTGGAGGTTCTGAAATCTGGGGAAATCCAGCATTTGCCTCATGGGAGGCTCTCTAGCAAAATAAGATGCATAAGAATTATAGGCTCATCCCTGTAACCCAGGGTTATAGGGATGAGCCTATAACTCTTAGAGCTTCCTGGGAGGCAGAAATCAGGAGGATTATGATTCCAAACCAGCATGGGACAAGAAAAAAGTTAAGGAGACCCTCATCTCCACCAACAAGCCAAGCATGGTGGTTGGCAATTGTAATGGGAACCATAGGTAGGAGGATCATAGTCTGAGACTTGTCCAGGAAAGAGAACCTATCTGAAAAATAACCTAAAGCAAGAAGGGATAGGTATGTGGCTCAAGCAAACCCAAGATCTTAAGTTCAACCTCAGTACTATATCATCATCATCATTATCATCAATGAGAGGAGAGAAGAAAGCTGTGTCAGACCCAGCCCAGAGAGCTGTGGGGACCTCATAAAGACCAGGCAGGAGAGGGGAGAAGCCCAGCTTGTCCTCCCATGGACCACACTTCTAGTTATGGGGCTTTGCTTCCTCCTAGGGAAGCCTCTTCTGAGCAATGCTGCATGCTGTATGTGCTTCAGTTTGCCATGCAGAAGTCTTGCTTCAAATTCTGACCTCAAGCTGCATAGAAAAATCAGACCTCACTTAGTCATGTATTTCCATGGCCCTGGATCTACAGTAGCAACTTCTTACTTTCTTCATCTAAAAACTGCGCAGTCATAGCACTTGCCTCATAAAACTTTGCTAGAGGAGTGCTGGCAGAAGAACTGGGGCACTCGCTTTGTCAGCTAAGTGCTCAGGCTCTGGAGGCTGGCTATTTGGACCACTTACCAGTGTGTGATGAAGCTAGTTGCTTCATCTCTCTGTGTCTCCATTTTGTCATATGGATAAAGGCAATTATAATGGTGTCTTCTTCAGAAGGCTTGCTGAGAGGTCCAGGTGAGTTGTGTTAGGACCCAGCTTACTGAGTGTGGTTGCATGTCTAGGAAGCACTATCCTCCATTTCTTCTTCCTCCTCCCCCTCCTCCTCCTCCTCCTTCTTTTTTGATGTTGGTCATGGGCTTGAACTCTGGGCCTGAGCACCGTCCCTGAGCTCTTCAGCTCAAAGTGAGTGCTCTACCACTTGAACCATAGCGCCACTTCCAGTTTTCTTGTGTTAATTGGAGATAAGAGTCTCATAGACTTTCCTGTCCAGGCTGGCTTTGAACTGCAATCCTCAGACCTGTCTCCTGAGTAGCTAGGATTACAGGCGTGGGCCACCAGAACCCAGCTCCTTTCCTCTTCTTGACACTCAGAAGATGTGACTGCCCACACAAAAACCTTCTCTTCCCCAGGCTTCTGGTTTAAGAGTTTCATGGAGGCCACACTTCCCTGGGTTGAGGGATATGCTGCATGATATCCATGAGCATCTGCACGTGGCAGTTGCAGGGTCGAGCCCATCCTGTGGTTGTGGCCTGACTTCCTAGAGGAGCTGGATATTGTCTCACACCCCACCCCACCTTACTTCCTGTGTCAGCAGACACCACAGAACACACCCCTACCCCACCCCCACCTCTATGCACAGCCTACTGGAGGCTCCCAGTTCTGGTGACTCTCATCTGATGAAAGTCTCAAGTGGAGAAAGGCATGATAGGGTTGTCATTGTGTGAGTAGCATTGGTGGTGAAATTGGTAAAGACGTTAACGGTGACAGTGACATGGATGGTGGTAGTGGTGCCAGGATGGGTGGCCTTGTTGATAGTCAAGGTAGTGATGTTGATAATGATATCAGAATGGAGATATTGGTGGTACTGGCCAGAATCGAGGTGAGGTTGGTGACACCGGTAATGGCGAAGACACTGGTAGGGATGATGGTAGACGTAGCGATGATGACAGTGGTGATTCTGATGATCATAATGTTGGTGATGATTCTTAAAGTGCGTGTGACAATGATAACAAACAATGACAAAGGTGACTTCAACAGAGACAATGTTATTGCCATTAATAATTGATCATGAGAATATTGGTGACATGAATGGGGAGATTGTTAAGGTGATAGAAGTAGCTATAGTGGTAAGTCAGTGACTAATGGGTTGAATGATGGTGATGACACAGGAATTCCATTCACCCCTTGTCAAGTACTGATAGGTTCAAGAATCAATGAAACCCTGATGGCCTCTCCCCTCCCAGAGCCTCCTTGCCCACCCTATGAGCATGCTGAGTACCGACTCTGGCATCCAACTGATTGGCCTTAGTTTTGTCCCTCTCAGGGTGAGGACTGCCCTTCTGAACAGAGCCCTGAGGAGCCCACAAAGAAGCAAGATGGCCTAGCTCAGCTGGCCCCAGACCTGACTGTGATCCAGTTCATCAAAGGTGAGTGAGCAAAGATTAGGTTGGGGTAGATGGGCTAGAGAGATGTTGAAGGCTGTACAGGTTCCAGCCCCTTCTTGCCTTCTCAATTCATCTTCTACACCTACAGCCCCCCACCATATGCACCAAGCACCCTGAGTCTTTGTGCAGGCCAAGAACTTCTTTTCTAATTGCTATCTATCAAACACAAGACTTGATCCTTTACTCCCACATGTCTGGCTCTCCCAGCAAGCAAGACAGTGTTCTTCTGTGCTCTGGGCTCGGCACCCCATTTCTTCTTTATCACTCCAGATCTGGGCTAAGTACTTGTCCAGCCCTTCCCTGCAGTGGGGCGCTGATGGAGATCAGAGCCTATGCCCCTTTTCCATCTACTTCTAAGTCTGCAAGCAGGAGGCCCTCAGCAAATATTTGTTCAATCCTCAGGCTATGGCATGGGTGAAGGGAGTTCTGGGCTGAATTCAGAGGCCTGAGCTTTTATTCTGAGTTTTGCTCTTCTTCCAGGCCTCAATTTCTCCAGTACAATTTTTTAGTTTCAATTATGTGAGGTTCATGCAACTCTAATCTCAACACTGCAAAATCTATCAATTAGTAATCAGAGTCCACATTAACCAGTGAGTTTTCCCTAATGCTTCGATCTCATGAACATTGATTGAGCACCTACTGTATGCCAGGGTCTCTTGGGAAACTCTGGACAGCAAAGCAGAAGACTGACAGGTGAGGCCTACTGGGGTGTTAGTAATCCACCCTTGTTTCGCCAGCATCTCCAGTTTCTGGACTCTACAAGGCTGGGCCTGTAGTAGAGGTCTGGGCTCTCAAACCTCAGCTCACCCCCTTCTGCTGGAGGCCTCATACACTGCACCACAGAAGAGCTTATTAATCACTATGTTGGCTTCTGCCCAGAGAAAAGTTGGTGCCAGCTGCTGAAATTGAATCCTAGAGCTGTTCTGGGACAGCTTGTGTCTAGCGGATTCAGCTTCTATGGGACACTGTAAGAAACTGAGGCAAGGCTGGTCTCAGGCCCTGTGGCTTTGGGGCTTCTGCTGAGTTCCAGAAGGGCAGGTCTGAACCCAGGGCCTGCCTTTGACCACCTAGAACCATGAAGGAGACAAAGGGACAAAGGAAGCATGGTCCTTCTACTGCATAAACACTACAATCTTAGAGGAATATAGTCCCTGAGATCAGGGTAGGAGACAAACAGTGTAATGGAGGATACATAGTCCATGGATAGAGGGAAAGCCTAGGGTCATGGAATATACCTGACCATTATGCTGGAGAAGGCCCCTGGCTGATGGGGAAGACAGTTCCTGAGCTGAGGCCCTCGTGTGTCTGATGGGGGAGACATTAGGCTAAGCAGAAGGGAGAGAGGGCTCTGAGGTGGAGGTTAGTTAGTGCTAAGAGAAGCATGTTCCCCTGGTCTGGAGAAGGCTGAGCTACCACAGTGGGCACATAATTTATGGGTAGAGGGACTGGGAACATGGTGGTTGGAAGATGTGGGATGATGCCCTTAAGATAAGCTGTCAGAGAGGACAAGAATAGGGATGGGGGGCCAACCAGAGAACATAGAAAGGGAATAACCCTGAAATGGGAGTTAGGAGAGCCTCAGGAACTCCTGGATGTGTCCCTGACCCTCTCTGGTCCTCTTTACCTTGCAATGTAGACACCTATGCAACTGAGGCCAAACCCTACTAAGGGGCCTTGAATCCGTAATCTGACCAGGGCAGGGAGGGAAGTTGTATCAACAATCTGGGCTGAAGACCAGAGCCCCCCATCCCACTGCAAATGCTGGCTGAATGCACTGCTTGGTAGCAAAGCTTTGTGTGTGAAGCAGGGGGAATTCCACAGTCTTGGTCCCCACCCACCCCACTTAGACTGTTTGTCTTTATTTCTTGGCTCCTAAGGAAATAAATGGCTGTTGGCCCAGCCATTTAAGGAAATAGCTGGCTTGGCCATGCTCTGAAGACAAACATAATATACCAACCATGACAGAGGGCCTGGTTCAGTCTATAGGAACAGACGTGGCTCAGAGGACCCTCATGACCTCTTGTCAGCAGGGAAGGAAAATCTATGAGACTCTTATCTCAAATTAGCCACCAAAAATCTGGAAGTAGACCTGTGGCACAAGTGGTAGAGTGCCAGCCTTGAGTATGGGGGGAGGTGCTAAAGGACAGTACCCAGTCCTGAATTTCAAGCCCTAGAACCAGCACACACAAAAAAAGGATGATGAGTAGACATTTTAAAATAAAATAAAGTGGAATGAATGAAATAGAATCAAACTGTATAGCATAGAACAAAATAACATGGAATCCAACCAAATAAAGTAGAAAAAGCATGTTGAGTAAAAGGCTAACTCAATGGAATGGAAGAAATTAACAGAATTTCAGAGCTAGAATAGAACTGAATAGAAAGGAGTCCATTGTAGAATTAGATTGGGTTGGAAAAGTGGCTTAGTGGAAGAATGCTTGCCTAGCATTCACGAAGCCCTGGCTTTGATTCCTTAGTACCACATAAACAGAAAAAAGCTGGAAGTGGTGCTAGAATGTTAACCTTGAGCAAAAGAAGCTCAGGGACAGTGCCTGAGCCCTGAGTTCAAGCCCCAGGACTGGGGAAAGAAAGAAAGAAAGAAAGAAAGAAAGAAAGAAAGAAAGAAAGAAAGAAAGAAAGAAAGAAAGAAAGAAAG